GACTCGTCGCAAAGTCGGCGCAAGTAAAAATGAGCTGGAATGAGAGCGTTAATGACACATCCTTAAGACGGGTTTGGACGATCAACTTTTGGGGAAGATGGGACTTATCTGGGGAAGGCCGAGGACTGCGCCGCGGAAACAGAATTCAGCGAGGCAAATGATTCAATCGTTGAGGTGGCCGTTTCTGATTATTTTTATTCACCCAAGAAATCCAACCGTGATTCGAGTCATTCCGTGACAAATGGCTGTAGTGATCTACAAAGTCGGTGGCCGGCGGCCCCGATCCCCTCTAGGCAAAGACATCCCCAGGCCAGCCCTCGACCGGAGAATAATGCACGATTCCGGGGGAGTCCATTTTTCTGTTCTGCTCTTGGCGAAAACAAGAGTCTGCTCCTAGAACATCGCGCGTTTGAAGACGGCCTCGCTTCCAGAATCCCTGACCACCAAGAGGTCAGAGGTCACCCCAAAACAAGCGTCATTTCTAATACGGGAAGGCAGCAAGCTTAAAGTAGGGTTCCCACGTTATCCCAACAATTGGTTCTTGTCAAGAGAGACCGGGCCTCTTTCAAAATCATGCACAGCGAAACCCAGAAGTGCGGGGGTTCGCGTTTGGCAGAACAAGCTTGAATCTGGTCTCGAGGCCCGCCAGGGGCCCTGGGCAACGAGACCTGTGGAAAAAATCTGGTCCCATCTGCGGTCCAATTGTAGCCCAAGTTGCATTAACTTTAAAGCTTGAAACGGCGATGCGGACAAGTTTTGCGACAAGATTGGTGAAGGCCCTGGAGGGGAGTCCGACCTAACCGACTTCGAGGTGTGCCGAAGAGCCGGGGCTACCCTGGTCTGCGGCACAATTAGCCTCGTTTGAGCTGCTGATGTGACGGGATGATCAGGCATCTGAACAGGTCTTGTTGCAGGATGAGGCTCATGGCTGTCATCTCGAGTCAAAGAAACTCATCTGGAGTGTTGCTGAACGTAGTGGTGCACTGGTGCTCAGGTGACACCGCCATCCGGAGTTTCAGGGTGTGACAGCAAAGTCTGTATGTAAGCATTGAGCATGTGGTGGTGGCATACCATCGAGGACTGGATCTCAACATACATAAGAACATGAAGAGGATCTCCAGCTCCGGCACAAGGCTTCTCTTCTGTTTTGAGCGTCTATCTGGCTATCTCCGTTCTACTTCTTACTATTACATTCATTCCGTGCTGTGCGCGGCTCTTTTTAATTGAGCTCTCATTCATTAAGACCTGGTGTCACTTGCGCAAAGAATACCACTCACTGTCACGAAGTATCAATACAACCTTACAGTCAACATGAGGTTCTCAACTGCCGCTTTCTTTGCCATTGGCCTTTTGGCTGGCAACGTCATTTCTGGTAAGCTCATCCTTGATTACGTTCCAATCCCACGAGCCTAAGTGTACTAATACGGTCCCCCAGCCCCCGCGGTCCAAGGAAACGATGTTGCCCTCCCGATCGAAGTCCGTGCAGAAGACTTCGTCGCAAACGACGCCGCCCACCTCGAGGCCCGAGCGAAGAAGAAGAGGGCTGCCGGAGCGGCGGCCAAGAAGAACAATGGCGCTGCCGCTGCCAAGGCGAACGCCGCCAACGCTGCCGCGGCAAAGAAGAATACCGGTGCTGCAGCGGCCGCGAAGAAGAACAACGGCGCTGCCGCTGCTGCCAAGAAGAAGAACGCCAATGCGGCAAAGAAGAATGCAAACGCGAAGAAGAATGCCAACGCTGGTAACAACGCCAATGCGGGCAACAATGCCAACGCTGGCAACGCGAATGCAGGCAACGCCAACGCTGCCAAGGGCAAGGGCAAGTCCCAAGCCGAGTTCTCTGGCTTGGCCTGCACCGATGGGAAGGGGGCTGGTGCTTGCAACGCCAACGGCCAGTGTGCCGTCAATGGCAAGACGACTGCTATCGCTGGCCAGTGTGGTCAGGCAGCGAAGAAGGCCAACAAGCGCTACGTCTCAGATGTCACCCACCTCATTTGAAGCAGCAGCCGTTGACGAGGGTTCGTTTTGGCGTAGGATTGGGCGGCATGGACTTCGTGGATTTTATGAACAAAAGGGGGAAATGATCATCGTAGCTTCGCCGACTCCATATATGTGTAATGAAAATTGATCGAGTCTCAAGCTCACATAGCTTCCTCACTTGGGTAGCAACATCAGGCGAAGTTCAATGAACACAAACCGGAATTCAGGTACCCCAAGGGATATGATGGCATCTATTCATGCGAGCTTGCTTTGTTCCCAGCATCTGCTCAATGATGCATACGCGTGTTCAAGAAGTTTTGGATAGAACCTTGGATTGTGGGCCATGAAGCAAAGAATGATGGGTCGAGTTGTTTCTGATTCATACTTCATTATAGCAGACATCTACGACTTCCTTTCCTTTTCAGCTTCCCTATCAATTCGCTGCTAGGACAATATAATACCAGTTGGTGTTCTTATATCCTCGGGAAATTGCCGTGGGTTCCATCCAGCGTCCGACTGGTCTCCACATTCACGGTATTCGGCATCGGAAGGAATGACGAGCCGCTCGCAGACGAAGTTTCTGGCAGCCTCTATTGACATACGGGTGGGATGAGTCGCCGCCATTGCCATTGGTGTTTCGGAACATTGGCATCCTTTGGCAGAATGTTGCAGATCCAGAACCCCTGCGTCGATCAACTCCTGCCAGAATTTGACATCTCTGTCACGCTGGACCCGCCGTTCTCCATCGTCTGCATCAATATTTGACGTAGAAGATGGTTTCGGGTTGACATGTCGTCTGTGGGGTTGCTGTTGGTCTCTGCCTTCTAGGACCGTTCCGATGATCAAGAGCCACCTGACTGCATCACACTTGAAGTGTCCCCTGATCAGAGCAAGTGCGGCGCCGACATGCCGGCTCTTCGCAGCGGCGATCATTGGCATGAGACCACGGAGGTGGCTGAGGCGGTGGTATGGGTTTAACCAATGGTGAGGTTTTGCGTTGTCCCTAAGTCCAAAAGGGCCATGTCCTTTGGAGAGCAACTCACGGATGGTTACCTCATCTCCGCGACTAGCAGCGACCTCAATAAGTGACCTGGCGGGGCGGCAGTAATCTGAAGTCGACTGAATCGAAGGGTCAAACCCCCATTTCTTTTTCCAGCGATGCTGGTAAAAGTGTCTTTCTAGAGCGTAAGGCGTGTGTGCAAGTACGTTGAACACCATAGAATGCCCATGTTTGACGGCCTCCTCGAGACACGTGTCAATGGCATGTTTGAACCTTTCATTCCTCCTGTTACTGCCGTAATAAGTTTTGAAAGTGGTTCCCTTCTTGCGATGCGGCATTTGGTTATCCAATATCAATTGGAGTATCTCTAGCTGTTGCGCGCACACAGCTTCCAGAAGAATTTGACCCAAAGCCTTGCTCGGTACTCTTCGGTCTGCGGCATCCAAAAGAGCACTCATAGTCTCCAGGTCGTCAAAAGCCATGGCTAGCCTCCAGAAGTAAAGATCGTAGAATCTGACGCCCTTTATTTCCTTTCCTCGGACCGTCTTCGTTATCTTTTCTCGTGAAGTATTGATCTCGTAGTTAATCAGAAGAACAGCGAGGTTCGAACTGCCACTCCTGATCGCAGCTTCCATGACTGATCCCAGCAGCGAAGAAGCAGCGTATCTTCCATCCCGAGATTTTGTCATCCCAATAGAAGATAGTGATTTAGGACCTTTGTTCAGGATCTGAGATAGTACAAGTCTCTCCGCGTCTTCTGATTGCAGATAGAATTTGGCAAGGAATAGCAGGTCTTCGAATGGCTCATTTGTGACGACGGGATCCGTCTCCGAAGGAAAAAGCAGCTTTTGAAAATGATCACTGAAGAGGTCCCAAATTCCATAATGTTTGACTGCATCTGGAAGATGGACGGCTTGTTTGCAAAGATGATGGATGCGTCTGTACCGTTCTTCGCTGTCGAGATTCAAGCCATCATCTCGTATTGTCCTATCAGTGATGGCGTTGATCACTGTAGCTAGGCTTGTACTCCACGGTAAATGACGATATGGCTGGATCATGAGGTACTTTGCCAGGAAGAAGCTTGCATTACCGCGATGTTGCACGCGGCACTGGGGTGAGGCCATGTGCGAGTGGTCTTGCTTGGCAAGAATGCCGACTTCTGGATTGCGCCTCATCTTGTGAAGAAGTTTGGTTATGTAGATAGCTCTCATGACAATGATCTCGAATAGCTCTGGCGTTCAATTAGCCCTGCTACAAGAAAATGGCTGATTCTGAAGGCGTGAACTTATTGGCCGTGATGAGAGGACACTCACTCGACACACGTAGAAGACGCGTTGCATCTCTCAAATTGAACTCGCTCTCCTCATCGTACGCAACGACGTCTTCGAAGATTTGATCAAGGCATTCCAACGGCAAGTCCAAGAGGCGTGTTGAGTCTATGCTGCAATCCATGGGGGCAAGGGCTCGTCCCTGATCCCTTTGAGCCATCGGAGCGGTTTCTAGCAGTTTGGTCTTCTGGTGGTGGTGTTGTTGAGGAGATTTTGCCCTAGTACAAAGCTCTCGAGAAACCTTGGATACGTGGATTTAGAAGCGAATATATTCAGGAGAAATCGAGTATAAAAATTGGTCCATTCCACTTTCTTACCAGGCTAAGAGGTTACATAAGTATCGAATGGGTGGTAAAGCGGTTGTAAGCCTGAGCCCCCTGTCAACCCAGGATAAGATTCCATTGGCTGAGTCCGATGTCACCAATATCCCCACTGAGGCCAATTCGCTTGTGAGGCCATTCCCATCGATGACCATGTGCAGCAGCAATAGTCATCGGTCAATCTCATTTTTTGCCTAGAGGTCTTTCGTTGAAACCAGAACCAAGCGTATCCTATAGCGACTTGAATGACCACAGCTATACACATTCATAGTTCTATTACCCAAAAAGCTTCACTTTCACGTTCATTACTGTTCTCCGCCTACTCCTTCTCGGATTCTCTCTAGTTCTGCGAACTTCAAAACGTCAATCACCTCATCATAGTTGGAAGATTTTTCTCAACGCTGCTCCGAACCGTTTGACTGCCTCTTCAATTTGAACCAGGGGTGCGGCAGCGAATGTGGTCCGGAAGAAAATCTCATTCAGCGGGATGTGCTTGTTGGCATTGAACCAACTACCCCGAGCAATGAGAGCGCCTTGAGCCAGCGCCTCTTGCCATATCTCCTCTTCAATCTCATTTGGAGACTTCGTTGAGGCATCGGGGTGTTTTTGCCAGTCCACGCCTAGCCATTGCTGCAATGGTTTAGTAAAAGAACATTCTACATGCAAGTAATGTAGTACTCACAAACATGCCCGCCCGTGCCGGCTTCCATGCGACGATCTCTCGGGGCAAGTGCTGTTCGCAAGCTCGCACCATGAAATCCCGACGCTCAGTATACTCTCCACGGATATGTAGCATCCACTCAAGGAACCCGGCATGGCCCCAAAACTCATCTAGAAGCTTGAAGAATGCGAGTTGACTGAATCCGCTAGGTCCCTGCGTTGATACGTCGGCATGGGTTTTGTATCGCTCTACTACTGCTTGAGGGGCAGTAATCCAACCAATTCGAGATCCAGGGCTGATGACCTTGCTGAAAGAGTCCATGCGCATGACACGCCCGTCTACGTCGATGCCGAGGTATGTCGGGACGATCGCGTTTAGTAAGTCTGCCGGCGACTGAGGGATGGTGGAAGGTGTTGTCAGTTCTGCGGATGCGCTGTAGGCGTCCATCTGAAGCCAGTAGTAGGGATCGTCTTCCAGAATGATCAAATCGTGTTGCTGTGCCACCCGGTAAATACTTCTGCGACGCTGTAGACTTTGAGTAGCACCAGTGGGGTTGTGGCCGGTTGGGACGAGGTATAATAGGAATGGCTTCGCTGCGTTCTCGTGCTCTGCTGGGTTCCATGTGTCCAAGACCTGGAGGAGGCTCTCTGGCAGCAAGCCTTCTCCATCCATGTCGACACCAAGGAACTTGACACCCATCGGCTTTGCAGTTTCGACCGCCGTCGAGTAGGTGAACTTCTCTGACAGCACATAGTCACCAGGTTTGGCGAGCATGCGAAGGGCCATGTCTAGCGCCGAAGTGTTGCCAACGGTCATGGTGCATCCCCAATCTGCATAAGGGGGGTTATGGACCATCTCGGTGTGTTCAATGATCCATCGTAGAAGTTGCGGAGACCCGCTACCTTGACCATAGTTCAGCGCTACAGAGATATCGAACACGCTTCGGCCCTCGGAAAGGTCTGTTTTGCTCGATCGGAAGCATGCATCATCAACGGAGGAGTCTGATGCAGACTTTGACCTGGAGCTGCTTGGAACGAATGACGGCGTGAACGAGAGTGTCTCGAAAGGAAGGAATTCGCTGAGTGGAATACCGCCGCCAAGAGAGATAACATCCGGATTCTGTAGGTGCTTGAAAGCTGCCTTTAGCGAAGATCCTGTTCTCGCTGTCGATTCGTGAGTTAAACGGTCTGGTAGGTATGGCAAGGTTAGCTCTACCACAAAAGCTCTCCGCTGTCACTGTCACAGATTCTGAACTAGAACCAAGCACTCACGGTTCCAATCTTTGGCTAGTGGCTTATGCTTGTCTGTTCTGGTCTTGAAGTCTTCGGTGGTACATTGAGCTGCGACGCCCCATTTGCTGGCCGGGACCGTGCGCCGAGCCGGCTTCAACACGGCATCGGTGACAGTGTCCGGGATGGAGGCATGGTCGGAGTTGATGTATTCGCCCATAATTATTCAGGTGAAGATGCTGGAACTGAGTCACAATGATGTTAAACCCAGTGAGCTAGAAGGATCCGTGGATGTCGAGATACCCAGACTAATTACTTATACAACGACGTTCGATGCTTTGCTAATCTGCGTTGAACCCATTCCGATGGCCCTTGACTCACGTCGAGCCGTCGGAGAGAGGGTCAAATAGAGATAGGAACAAATTTAATGGAGTCACAACCTAGATATCAGCAACGATTGGCACCGATTGATGTCTCACTTGTGGATAGCTGTAATGACATTCGCGCCTTTCCTCGCTCTCTGTGAACTAATCGGCGCAACCTGCTGCTCCTTATCGGGAATGTTCCTGTCAAGAGCGCCCTAAGAGTCTAGGATGGTGGGGGAAAACAAAAGAGAAATGGGACTACGGCGTGAGATCGGAGTGATGTGGGGTTCGGAGTGTCAAACTCAATCAAGGACACTCAACCACAACATCGTCGGAGTCAAAGGAGACCAGAGCTCGCCGAAAGACTTCTCTTCGAGCTGAACCTATGCATTCATTTCACAACAAGCAACAAACAGCCTCCATGTAATCTGATGATGGTACATATGAGTCGGATATGAAAAACAAGATGAACGTGAGACTTGCTGCGTGCGAGCCCTGTCGGCGTTCGAAGCTAGCATGCGGGCACGAAAGACCTGCCTGCACACGGTGCACTGGCCGTGGGCAGCGGAGTCATTGCGTTTACAGATCTAGACCTTTTCGGAGAAGAGTAACGAGAACGCAAGTCCAAGAGACGGAGTAAGTCTGCAATAACGATTATATAATGGTGATGTTGGTGACTGACCCGCACTTACTTCCAGAAGCCTGATGTCAGTTGGGCCGGCAGAGACTATTGCAACGACGACCTCGTCGACACCTCAATCTCCAGCTGATACCCTGTCACCCAATACAGGAACACCGACAGCATCGACGCAGCCGTATCGCTATCCTAACCCTGGCTTTCTCGGGATCTCAAGCCACTCTACCATCTTCAACCATGTCTTCTCCGGTGATGGTTTTGGGCCTGCTTCTGATGCAGATTTGACTCCACAGCCCAGTTTGGCATCACCAATTGATCTAGTTGGCAACCAGGTTGTCATGGATAAGGCGATGCATGCGCTGTCACGTCTAGAGAAGATGGACATCTCCAAAGTCACACCTCTAGTGCGTTCTTGGCTCGAAAGGGGAGTAAACTTGCCTTTGGCTGGACCTATCGTTATTGAGTGCTTAGGGTCCTTGGAACATTGGAGAGAAGTCCTCGCTCCGACGACTGATATTTCTGGAGAGAGTGGTGGCTCCGGCTCTGGAATCACAAGCGCTGGCTATGTGGCAACTCTGTTGACCAACACACTGCGGCCTTTTGACATGAGTTCTCAGTCAACTCGGCAAGACTTCCTGGCCCAGATGGTTGGGTCCAATTTGAGGTGGGAGACGTTGGGTATCTTCTTTGTCGCTGCAGCCAGGGCGGCGTATGACACCCCCTATTTTCCGCCCCTTTATACAACAAATGAGCAGCGGCGAAGACTGATGCAGGCACTAACTTACATCGGGGACTATTGCCTGGAGACAAGCCTCTCCCTCGATTGTCTTAATGATCTACAGTTGATCCTCCAATATGAAAACTTCATCGTTCATTCACATCTAGATGGTGATCAGAGTAAGTTCGCAGATTGAACCACCGAAGCCTGCTGATGACCTTGCTCATATCCAGGCTACCATTCATGGAGACGAATTGGAGATCTTGCAAGTTCGCTCTTCGCACTAGGCTACCATGAGAAGATCGAGAGGTGTAATCCGAACCTCCCTTCTTTCATCATTGAGCTGCGAAAGGCTTGCTTTTGTCGAATCTACACGGCCGACAAGGGCTTAGCAGTGTTTCTTGGACGACCTCCGCGGATAGTGAAGGACTACTGCCAATTTCAAATACCCAAAGTGCACAATGGATGGATTGAAGACGAAGTTGACGACGCAAAAATGGCACATCTTGAGCCCATTAATTACAACGCCGATACACGATGTGTTGCGCGATTTGCACTTCTGAAGGAAGAGGTGCTTCAACTTTTGCGGAGGAAAAATATGACAGATGTCACGAAAAACATTAGGTTTGCTAAGACTCAGTCGTCAATGACTCGTTGATACTGATTTTACTAGGGAGTTCCGTGGAAAGGTCGAAGCACTGTGGCAAGATTTGCCAGGTCATTTCAGGCTCGATTCGAGCCTCCGAGAGTGTCAACAAAGCCCCTTTGGAAGAGACTTTTTAGCCCATATCAGGTTAGACTATCTGCATAACCTGTTCCTTCTGGGGCTCGTTTCACAGCAGCCTATCTCCGAGCCCAACGACGAACTCTTGAAGGTTGCGATAGAAATGCTTTCCATTGTGGTTGAGGTCATTCTACTACGCGATCAGCTGGTAAACTCCGGGACATGCCTCATCTGGAAAGTTGCGCAATACGGACTCCCCGCTGCGGGAGTAATTTCTCTAGCATTATTGAAGGAAAATGCTGCTTCAAATGTTTTTCTGCACTCGAGGTCCAAGATGATCCAAGACCTCAGCGTCTTGGTTGCCGAGACTAGGACCGGAGCTTGGATTCAGGCCGGCGAACCGAATTTCGCGTTATTTACCCGAGCAACTGGGACAATCCAGACAATGCTTGACTCTTTGCTCGCTGCAAGACCATCTGCGGAACAAGTTCAAACGACAAACGTTGCTACTCTGGAAGTTTGGGAGCCTTATTCCAATCACCAGCTTTGGGACTTTGAGATGGAGTTCTGGTCTAATCTCGCAGAACACCCTACTCTGCTTGCTTGATGGATCTAGTTGAAGAAGCAAGTCAAACTTACCGCTTCTCATGACTAAGCTTGCTCACACGTTTCGGAACGAGAAGGCGAATAAGAACATAATAATCTCGCAACTTGAGGCTTTGCGTATTGGGAGGCACGTCTGCCTCCATACTGTCTCCATGTTCCTTTACTAAATCAAGGTGTTCTGCCAAATGAGTACCTTCCTTCACTCAGGTGATTCATAGGATCGGCCTTAAACATTCGTAAGTTTATTGAGCTTGCCGAGTTCCGTAAGCCCCTTCGGAAATGGGCAGGTATTAGCACTACCTACCATAAGCAGCTCTCCGATATCCAGCAACAGCGCTGGCAGCCTTTGCCGTTTGGTCGAAGCATCCGGGCCATCCGTGACGGTGAATAACCTGGGCTGATGGATGAACCCAATTTTATGGACAAGTAGCTTGATGTCATGGGTGAACTGTGTCTGGGGGCCAATTTCTGCAGATTGGCTGTGAATGGACACAAATCCATGCTCTTCCGGAGTCCCGTCTGGTCGACTGATCCACCCTTTTCCCCTCTTCTACTAGTGTTTGAAGGGCCTGTATCAAATGAGACCCATGTCGACCTCACTCTGGAGATGATTGGTGTTGTGGTGGAGAAAGATGGAGGCAAATGACCCTCGACAATCAATCGGGGGCCAGGCCGGCCATATCCTCGGATCCTTCAAGCGAAGGATGTCCACCAATACTAAAGAATCGTCTGGTAATGATCTATGTAGAGACTCGAGACACGAACGGGTTCCTGGTAAAGACTCTCATGGCTAATGATGTCGCAAAATGTTGACGGCCGGGGTCCCGCGACTGTAACGTAGCATCAACAGCAGGACTGGTAAAAGTCGAAGGTTGAGCAAAAACGGATTTTATTCATCATCAAGAAGTCTAAAGATCGGCAACAAAAGTGTTTAATGCAGGTGCGCTGAGTTACCAGGCAAGACAGGAGGAGTATTCCATTTTCGGTATTCTTCACGTCAACGTGGCAGAAGTCACCGGATGTGACCATCATTTCAAGATTTTGTGACCTGTCGATGCATGTCGCTCCACAGGATGCCCACTAGTGGGGTCTGCTGGTACGCAATATTAGAAGGATTATCATTATCAATGAGGGGCTTCTCGTTGCTATGTAGAAATAAAATCTCGTGGTGTTTTGAATATCAACGCAGCTCGGTGCTCCAAGCATCACAGTCCCAGACGTTACCGCCATGGTGCATATCTTCTTGTGAGTGATAGCGATCAAATCTGATTTTTCGTGGGATCAGTACGGCTCATCTATAATCTGACATAGCGTCGGCGGCACTGGCCATATCGGCGGTGCTGTGCTGGACCAGCTCCTCCAGAAATATGCGGATGCGAATGTGAAAGTCCTCGTTCGGGACGAGAGCAAGGCTGCCCGCCTTGTTCAAACCTACCTCCAGATTGAGACGGTCATCGGCGACGCCGGAAACTTTGATGTTCTTGAAAAGTGCAGTGAGGCGGCCGACGTCGTCATCAATACGGCCCCGGACATCACACATGACGACGGCATCAAGGCGATTCTGACTGGTCTGAAAGCACGTGGCGCGGCCAACGGCATAAAGCCTTACTATATTCACACATCGGGAGCTTCTCTCATTTGGGATGAGCCGGCCGGTTCCAAAGACGCCCGTCGGTGGGACGATCTCGCCGACATTGGAGACATCTGCGCGTTTAAGGGCGAAGCCCACACACATGCTGTTACCGATAAGATTGTGCGCGATGCGGCAACAGACGTCAATGTAGCCATCATGTCGCCTGGTTTCGTTGGCGGTATGAGTCCTTCCCTTGAGCACCCGACCCCGATCACGACGCCTGCCCTCCTACTCACCGCACGCGCTTTCAAGTCCGGCTGGCAGATCGCTGAAGGAGAAAACACCCACGCTTGGATCCACGTCTCGGATCTCGCAAAGATGTTCCTGATCCTTGTCGGAAAGGCCATTGATGGCACCTCCGACTCTGAACCTTTCGCCATCTGGGGCCCAGAGGCGTACTACTTTGGCACGAGTGAAGATATCTCGTTCGGAGAGTTTATGAAGCACCTTGCTCCTGTACTCAAGGATCAGAAGATCATTGAGAGCACCGAGATTAAGTCAGTCAGCGTGGCTGAGGCAGCAAGGGCCAGTATCGCT